TACAATGTGTCACAATTTGCTTCATGTAATCCCTGTGACAGACCTCAATAGAAGTTTGTGTTCTGGTTCTGCATATAGTGTCCTTCCAAAAGGCTTTTGTGTTAAAGGCTTGGTATAGCTGGTGGCACTGTTAGATGTGATTGGATCATGCTGTTCTTCACTGGGCTTATCCACTGATGTGTTCGTATTGAATGGGCTATCAGGAAGGTGGGACTCAACTAGAAGAAGGAGGTCAGTGGGGGATATGCCCTGGAGAGATACACCTTGTTCTCTCTCTTCCTCAATCCTTATCCCTTTTTTCCCTCTTCTCTATTCTGGACACTATAATTTTACATTTGCATGCTATTCCCTGCTTTTAATTATTTTCCTGGGACCATAGCCTGAGCATTGGAGATATAGCCAGTGGCTGAACACTAGCCCAGTATGCACAAAGCCCTAGATTCAAACTTCAATGCTGCAAAAAAAAATCTTAAACTTCTCTGGGGGGGAAATTAGCACTGAAATATTCCCCCACCTTTTTTTTTTTGGCAGTACTGAGGTTTGAATGCAAGGCCTCATGTTTGATAGGCTGGTACTCTACCACTTGAGCTATGCCTCCAGCTCTAGTTTTTCCTAATTGTTTTGGAGATAGAGTCTAGAAAATTTTTTTGCCTGGGTTGGTCTCAAGCCACAGTTTTCCAGATCTCAACCTCCTGCCTTTTCTTGAGTTTTTTAGGTCAGCATTCCTGCAGCTATGTATAGTCAGAATCAACTTATAAGAAGATTTTTATGTCCTGCTTTTTAAATGTAACAGTGGCTCTCTATACACATTTGCATATATAAACATAGCAATGATGTGCTTTCTAGTAATGTACTATATTGCTTATAAGATTTTTATGTAACAGTGTATCTATATACACATTCACATATATAAACAGAGCGATGGCAGACTTTCCAGTAACCCACTATATTGTATTTCATATTACTGAAGTGATACAACATTGCAAAAAGAACATGGATCTGACAATGCTGGCAAGCAGGAACTTATTGAAGGTGGGCATCCAAAATGGCAGAGCCCCTTTGGAAGCCAGTTTGGCAGTTTCTTCCAAGACTAAATATACTCTTAGCACACGATCCAAGCAACCATGCTCCCTGCTATCGACTCAAAGAAGAACTTCAGTCCAAAAAAGAAACCTGCACATTACTGTTTATAGCAACTTCATTCATTCCTAATTCAGTGAATGGACAAATGAACTGCAGTACATACTAACAAAGGTATAATATTTAGCATAAAAAATGAGCTATGAAGCCTAAAAAGACAGCACCAGTGGAACCTGTAATCCTAGCTACTCAGGAAGCTGAGATCTGAAGATTGCAGTTCCCAGCCAACTGTTGGCAGGTAAATCTATGAGATTCATATATCCAATTAACTATAAAAAAAAAAAGCCAGAAGTGAAGCTGTAGCTCAAGTAGTAGAGTGTTAGCCTTGAGCAGAACAGCTCAGTGACAGTGCACAGGCCCTGAGTTCAAGCCCCAGGATTGATGTACACACGCGCGCGTGTGCGCGCGCACGCGCACGCACACACACACACACACACACACACACACACGATATGGATCTGCCTGCCAGGCATGGTAGACATGCTGTAATCCCAGCTACTTTAGAGACAAAGACAAGAGGATCTCTGTTAGAAGCCAGCTCCATCCCAGTTAGTACAAGATCTTATTTGAAAAACCTACTAAAAGGGGGGAATAGTTGAACTGGTAGAGCACTTAACTAGCAAACACAAGGCACTAAATCCAATCCCTAGTACTACCACAAAGTAAATAATAAATAGAAAATGCATGATGTGCCCCAACCTTAAATGCATAAGTAAAAACAGGCAACTGAGAAGTTACATATTATACCATTCCAACTATCTGACATTTGGGGGATAAACCAGAACTATAGAGATAATTAAAGGATCCATTATTGCCAGGAGTTAGGGGGAGAACAGGATGAGCAGCTGAACACAGAGGATATTCAAAGCAGTGAAAAACACTCTATACAAGATGGTAATGATAGATACATGTCATTATACACATGTCTAAACCCTGGAATGTACAACACTAAAAGTGAACACTCATGTAAACTATTGATTCTGGGTGATTGTCCTGTGTAAATAGAGGTTTGTTGATTGTAACTAAGGTACCACTTTGGGGGTGGGGATATCAATAGTGGGGGGAGGTCATATGTTGCAATGACAGAAGACACATGGGAAATCTTTGTATCTTTCTCTCAAATTTCCCTGTAAACCTTAAAATCTCTTTTCTTGAAAAAGTATCTTTATATGCTTGTAATCCCAGCGTTTAGGAGGCTGAGGAAGGAAAATCTTGAGTTTGAGATCAGCCTGACCTACATAGTAAGACCTTATCTCAAAAATTTCTTTCCTGGGCTAGGAAGGTAGCTCAGTGGGAGAGTGCTTGCCTAGCATGCATGAGGCCCTGGGTTCGATTCCTCAGTACCATTAAACAGAAAAAGCTGGAAGTGGTGCTATGGCTCAAGTGGTATAGCGTTAGCCTTGAGCTGAAGAGCTGAGGGACAGCGCCCAGGCCCAGAGTTCAAGCACCACCACTGACAAAAAGAAAAAGAAAAAAATCTTTTCTTGGGTTGGGCAGGTGGCTTAGTAGTAGAGTACTTGCCTCACATACATGAGGTCTTGGGTTCAATTCCTCAGCATCAGATGAACAGAAAAAGCCAGAAGTGGTGCTGTGGCTCAAGTGGTAGAGCTCTAGCCTTGAGCTGAAGAGCTCAGGGACAATGCCCAGGCCTAGAGTTCAAGCCCCATGACCGACAAAAATAAATAAATAATAAGTAAATAAATAATTTTCTTTTAAGCCATAAGGGTAGTGACACAGGTGAGTGAGTTCGTCTCCTATCTCTTTGTCCAACACTGGGGCATTTGACAAATGATTTAACTGTTCTCTATTTTAGATTCCTCATCTGTAAATGGAAAAACTAATACCTATCTCATAGGATTGTTATGTGAATGTAAGGTATGTCTCTCCTTTGTAGCTAATGCTCAGTGAATTATTAGCAGCAACAATAGTCTGTATTCTGCATCCTACTCCTCCCCCCACCCCACCATGAGATCATGAAGTTCTCTTGGGCAGGGACTTATTCATTTCTGCAACCACTTACATCTAGCCCATTGCCTGGCACTTGGGATCTGAGCCCTAACCTTAACTTTACTCTCTGTCATCTGAATTCTTTCCCAACATATTTGCAATTAATCAAATACATTTTAAAGCCCTTTGGTGTGCATTGCCTAATTTGATCTGCACACTGAGGGAGTTGGCAAAAAGAGGCTGTTTGCACACGCTCACAACCTAACAACAGTGGCTTACAGAAAACCTCCATGGGTCACATCACAAATCACTGAAAAAGATTAGAGCCCCTGATGCTGCCTCCATTCCTCGCCTCTGGTATCTTTTTGCTCTCTAACTGCTTCCCTCTGTATCCAAAGCCTCTTTTAAAAATAGACCCCAGAAGCCGGGCTCCGGTGGTTCATGCCTGTGAGCTACTCAGGAGGCTGAGCTCTGAGGATCACGGTTCAAAGCCAGCCTGGGCAGGAAAGGCTGTGAGACTCTTTATCTTCATTTAACCAACAGAAAACCGGAAGTGGCGCTGTAGCTCAAGTGGTAGAGCGCTAGCCTTGAGCTGAAGAACTGAGGGACAACACCCAGGCCCAGAGTTCAAGACCCACGACCGACAAAAAAAAAAAAAGACCCTAGAGCTGCACCTGCACCCAGAGGTCCATGTTAAAAGTGGTGAAATGCATGCTGCTAACAGACGGCCTTCTGACATCCTAGGAAATGGTAAAAAAAAAAAAAAAAAAAAGTGGGGCCTGATCATCAGCAGGTGTCCCAATAATCAGCGTGTTTTGGTGGCCTGGCCCACTGGAGGGGCGGGACATCAAGAAGCGAACCTTACCACTGCTCCACAGACTGGGCCACCGGAGGGGGCGGGGCCTGCCGCAGGGGGTGGGGCCTGCCGCCAAAGGGGGGCAGGACATGCTGCTGGAGGAGGTGGGGCATCCAGCCCCACATGCTGAGCTGCCTATTGGGATTGGACAGGGAGCAGCTTAGGGGAGGAGCATGAATGGCGGTTGGAAACCATTGGTGGGGGAGGGACCCAGGGGAGTAGGGTAAAGGGGGCCTGGGGGGGGGCGGAGGGAAGTAGAGTGGAGAGTAGTCCCCTTGGGGTCGAGGAGTAGAGCGAGGGACTGAGAGGAGAGTGGGACAGCAGAGGGGAAACCTGCTGGAGCACAGTAGGGCAGGCCTGTGGAGGGCAGGGCAAGCCATTTGGGACCTCCCTCTAGAGAGGCCTGTGGAGAGGAGCCTCCAGGAGCAGAGCAGGGCAGGCCTTCCCCTTTGGAGGTGTGGAGGTTTGGAGGTCTGGGGTTGGAGTTTGCAGATTGACTAACTGGAGGTTTGCAGACCAACTAATAAAGGTGTGTGTGTGGGGGGGGTCAGGACTGCTTATTGGAAGCTTGGAGGTTTGGTGGTGGAGGCTGCCCTTGGTTCAAGTTATCTAGCCCAGGACAAGGTAGTTGCAGGCTCTCTTTCTGGGGGTAAATAGGGTAAATAAATTTGTTATCTTTAACTGTGCCGCGATGGATGGTCTTGCTCTTTAGAGGCCATAATTAAACCAAGCACTTTAATCTCAAGCACCAAAGGGCTTGTATTTTCCCAAAGCAAGGAGCATCTTAGGAAAGGACCGGTGTGCCAGCTTTTTTCTTTCCTTCCCCCATTCCTGTGAGGGGGTGAGGAGGCGACTCTGAGTCCAGGAGGAGGGATTTTACCTAAAAATAGCTATAGCGTGTGGATCAGCCCCTAGTGGTACCCAGGACTGGAGAAGGGAGGGGAATGCTCAGGAGCTGTCGCCAGACTGGTTGCCCTGGAAACGAGAGAGGAGCAGGGGAACCTGGGAAGTAGGGATGACACAGATACCAATCCTAGGCAGAGCTGCCGCTACATTTAGGAGAAACAGCAGTGCCTGCGGCTCCCACTCACCAAAGGGGGCCCGTGGGGGGGCGGTGTCAGGGGCATGGGCACCACCCCCCAAGGGTCTCTGCTGCCGGCTACTCTCCTCTGCACACGCTGTGAGTTGAGTTGTGGGGACTTGGGATTTGGGCCCCTATTTCCAAGGCAAGTGTGGGTTTGGGAGGAGCTGGTTCCCGAGAGAGTTTTCACAGATCCTTTCAGCAAAATAAGCCCCTGTTGCCCAGTATTCTCTAAGGAAAAGGAGGGGGGGTCTGAGAAAATGTGGTACTAAGATTATGGCATGCACAAGAAGTAAGGAGTAGACTGGAACTGGAATTATTGGAAGAGGTGGAAATCAAGTCCTACAACAATTTTACACCATTTCTTCCTCATGAGAAAAAAAAATACAGCCCCTCACTCAGAGAGACAGGAGGTAGGACACTATCAAAAGAAGGCTTACCTAGATCCCTGGGGCAAGGAAGAGCAAGAGAGTTCTGGAAGTGATTAGCATAAGAGTCTCCTCCATCCTTGGGCAAAGAGATGGAGGTCAGATTACCTAAGACCCTGAGAGAGTGTTTGAAAGCTTGTCAGGATCTAAAGATAGATCAAAACTGAGTACTTTGCTGCATGACATAGGGTCCTTCTGCTAAGGGGGGGGGATAGAGGGGGGGCAAGCATGCTGATCAGGAACGAGAATGACCATGATCTACCATTGTGACCCTGCAGGGACAGACCTTCTGTCCTCTGAATCCAGGGAAAATAAATACAGGGGTTAGTCCCTATGCTCATTTTGGTTTCTTCTCCTTCCTTTTGCCTCAACAAATATGCACATGTGCACACACATGCACAGACGCATGCACACACACACACACACGGTCTGTCTGAATATTATAGTACTTTCCTCTAGAATTAAAACTTTAGAGTATTAGGGATAGAGTTACATATCCAGGCAGTTTCTCCCCAGGACCTGGTCACACATCCAGGCCACCTGTGATCCGTATGTCACACTCCTGTTCCCTTCCCCTACAGCCAGAACAGGAAAATTCCCAGAAAAGAGAGAGGGAGGAGGGTAATGGTTCCTAAATCCTTATTCTAGACCTTGCTTATTCTAGACCCTGGATGCCTAAAGAAGGACCCTGAAGACTGAAGCTCAGAGACCTTCTCTGAAGGAAGATTTTGAAGCAAAATCAGGTGGGCTTCTTCCTTGTTGTGGAATATGGGCTTTGTTTGGAATGTGAGCTTTGGTGCACATGTCAGGTAGGGCAGAGCTGGTATTAGGGTATGGCGGGGAAATAGGGGAAGCTGTAGAAAAGAATAGCAGGTTGTGGGGAAATAGATGAGGGGCTTAGCCTCACCCGGGAGAATGGGATACTAGAGGATACAAGTCTAACTCCTGATGAACCTTGTGCTTGCTTTACCCTGACTGTTTGTGAGGGTCTCCTATCTCCTAGTCCCCAAACCCCATTTTCAGTCTATCTCTTTTGGGGAAAGAATCTAAGGGAAATGTGGCCCATACCAGGGCAGCCCTGATCATGGTTAAACCTCCAGGAGTTTTAGTGGGAATGAACTAACATGGGAGTATTCACCCCTTGCACACTCAACATTTTGTTTTTTGTTTTCTGTTCTCTTTTTTTTTTTTTTCTGGTTCTGGAGCTTGCTTGAACTCTGGGCCTGGGCTCTGTCCTTGAGCTTCTTTTGCTCAAGGCTAGTGCTCTACCACTAGAGAAGTGGTCACAGTGCCACTTCTGGCTTTTTCTGAATAGTTTATTGGAGTTTCATGGGTCCTGCCCTGGCTAGCTTTAAACCAGGTCCTTAGATCTCAGCCTCCTGAGTAGCTAGGATTACAGGCATGAGCCACGGGTGCCCAGCTCACACTGGACTTAGTTCACATAACTTTCCACACCTTGCATTTCTTTCTCCTTTGTAAGTGTGTTCTGGAGCAAAGATGTAGAAGGGAGTGGAGAGGGGGGAGGGAAGAAGGAATGGGGGGTGGGAGGGAACTGTGTGTCAATCTGGAGTGAACTTCCAGATGACGTTTAGATAGAATGCTGGAGAGGAGTCCTGGGCTGGAGGCTGGACTGCTAGCCGGGGAGTGAGGTGTAGCCCGAGCCTGGTGACTTCACAAGCCCTCTCCGGGCCCGGGGTCGGTTGAAGTGCGGCATATTCCTGAAAGCAGTCGAACTTGACTAGTGTTATCCAATTTACGAAGCTATTTGATCTCGCAATGTTTTGCGCTTGGGGTCAGCGAGGGTTATGTTATCCCATCCTACTGATGGGAGGAAACAGACTAAGAATCACGCAGGGGCCACTCAGAGCCCTCCAGCCTCGTCTCGGCTGCCTCTGAGGCCTGGGGTCCCCCACCCACAACAAAACCATTAATTCGGAAAACCTTTATTAAGCCCCTCTAGGCTCCCTCCCCGGCCCCCCGGCGCGACCCAGGTACCCGGCCTGGGGTGGCCGGCGGTGTCCCTGCCAGGCACGCGCACACCGCCGCCGCCATGGCGCAGGAGAACGCGGCCTTCTCTCCGGGGCCCGAGGAGCCGCCGCGGCGCCGGGGCCGCCAGCGCTACGTGGAGAAGGACGGCCGGTGCAACGTGCAGCAGGGCAACGTGCGCGAGACGTACCGCTACCTGACGGACCTGTTCACCACGCTGGTGGACCTGCAGTGGCGCCTCAGCCTGCTCTTCTTCGTGCTGGCCTACGCGCTCACCTGGCTCTTCTTCGGCGCCATCTGGTGGCTGATCGCCTACGGCCGCGGCGACCTGGAGCACCTGGAGGACACCGCGTGGACCCCGTGCGTCAACAACCTCAACGGCTTCGTGGCCGCCTTCCTCTTCTCCATCGAAACAGAGACCACCATTGGCTACGGGCACCGCGTCATCACCGACCAGTGTCCCGAGGGCATCGTGCTGCTGCTGCTGCAGGCCATCCTGGGCTCCATGGTGAATGCCTTCATGGTGGGCTGCATGTTCGTCAAGATCTCGCAGCCCAACAAGCGCGCGGCCACGCTCGTCTTCTCCTCGCACGCCGTGGTGTCCTTGCGTGACGGGCGCCTCTGCCTCATGTTCCGCGTGGGTGACCTGCGCTCCTCACACATCGTGGAGGCCTCCATCCGCGCCAAGCTCATCCGCTCCCGCCAGACCCTCGAGGGCGAGTTCATTCCGCTGCACCAGACCGACCTCAGCGTGGGCTTCGACACGGGCGACGATCGCCTCTTCCTTGTCTCGCCGCTGGTCATCAGCCACGAAATCGACGCCGCCAGTCCCTTCTGGGAGGCATCGCGCCGCGCCCTCGAGAGGGATGACTTCGAGATCGTTGTCATCCTAGAGGGCATGGTGGAAGCCACAGGTGCAGGCCCGGGCAGGGCAGTGGGGTTGCCTGGGCCGGGACACAAAATGAAGAGGGGCCAGGAGAGGTGCAGGATGACGGATGGAGAGTTGATGCAGAGTGAAAGATTGAGGTGGGGCTGGGGCTATTCAGGAATCTGAGATCCGAGGAAAATCCAGGAGACTCTTTATCTCGCATTAACTACCAAAACGCTAGAAGCGGAGCTGTGGCTCAAAGTGGTAGCAAGCTAGCTTTGAGCAAAAATGTTCAGGGGCAATGCCCAGGCCCTGAGTTTAAGCCCCAGAACCTGCACTCAAAAAAAAAAAAAAAAAAAAAAAGATGGAGCCAGGCGCTGGTGGCTCTCGCCTGTAATCCTAGCTACTCAGGAGGCTGAGATCTGAGGATTGCGGTTCAAAAACAGACTGGGCAGGAAAGTCCATGAAACTCTTATCTCCATGAAGCCACCAGAAAACTAGAAGTGCTGCTGTGGCTCAAGTGATAGAGTGCTTGCCTAGAGCTGAAGAGCTCAGGAACAGCAGCCAGGTCCGAGTTCAAGCCTCATGACCCCCCTCCCCCCCAAAAAAAAGATGGAGGTGAAATTAGGGAGACCTGGGGAGGTATGGGAATGAGGCATCAACAAGAGTGACTCTGCAGAGGACCAAGGAAAGGCTTAGAGCAATTCTTTGAAATGGTATTAAGTGAGACCCTTGGTTGAGAGGTGTGTCGCTTAGAATAGGGAGAGGAAGAAGAATCATTAACACAGGTGTTTACCCCATGAGGGGCAATCTCAAAGCACTTTGCAACCCTGAGTTCGTAAGAACCCTCTGAAGATAACTTATTTTGCTCATTTTTCAGAGAAGTGATAGCCCCAAGGAATGATTAAGTAAATTGCCCACTGTTGTTAGCTAGTATGTACCTGTGCCTGGATTGAACACAGGAGGTCTACCTTCAATGTTCAGAGCTGGAACAAAGGCTCAAATTCACGAGTTTTCTTGTTGCCCAGAAGTCTGGGCAACAAGAGGTCTGGGCAACAGAGGTCTGTTCTCCTGGTTTGGGAGGAATGGTTCTGGGATTTGAAGTCAAGGCCCCACACTTTCTAGGCAGGTGCTTTACTGTTTGAAATCATGCCCCCCCCTCCACACACACACACACTAAGTCCCTGGAATTTGATATGAAGGTTTTCCATGACCTGAGTTTTTCCTAGGAAGGGGCCTTAAGGAGATTGATATCTGGTTTTCTGCCTGTTCTTCCATCTGCCAAAATTCTGTTTCATTGACAAGAGAAATGGATGCTGTTGCTGTTTCTAGATAGACACCACCCTACCCTTAAGGAACTGATAACTTACATGCGATATCAGTACCTCCAACTCTGGCCTATACAGTGAAGGATTTGGGAGCAAGTAGGAAAAGTCCAGTGTAGGAGCAGACACAGAGAACCTATTGGCTGGATGAGAATTAGGAAAATGAAGGTGGAGAACCAAAGGCCCACTAGGGGGTGCTGCAGCTTCTGCCTTCAGTCTTCCCTGGTCCTGTCAAGCTGAGCCTTCACTACCACCCCACTCCTCCCTCACGGTTTCTACTTCTCCATTACTTTGGGTTTACCTTCTAGCTCTTTCCTCTTTCCCTATTAACTGTATTCCCATTCCTTACTCTCCAGTTACCACATTTCCCCCCCCCTTTTTTTCTTTTTGCTATTATCACATCCCTGTCTCCTCCCCACCCCCACCCCCATGTCAGTTTAAACTCAGGGCCTCACACTCTTGCTTGGCTTTTTTTCCTTAAGGCTGGTACTCTACCACTTTAGCCACACCTCTATTTCTAGCCTTTTGCTAGTTAATTGAAGAGTCTCACAGGCTGCCCAGGCTGGATTCAAACTGTGATCTTCACATCTCAGCCTCCTGAATAGCAAGGATGACAGTTATGAGTTACCAGCAGTGGGCCCTACCTTGCTCTCCTTTCCCTTTGTACCACTCACTCCTCTTCAGTGACCCTTGCTTCTCTTCTTCCCTCCCCCGTACAGGACACTTCCTATTCCAGCCTTCACCAGGATGCTTCAGGCAGACTTTCCATGATAGTATCAGTCTCTGCTCAGCTAATATCCGCTTTTCCCGTTCTGAGATGGACATTAATTGGGGAGAGACCTTAGGGTAGGAGAAGAATGGTCAGCCCTGTGGGGAGGGGGGTATATAGCAACCCAACAGGAAAAATAGGCCCCAGGCTCAGGGCAAGGCAGACACAGTGGGGGCAGTGGAGACAGTGGCGATGAGCGCTTGTCTGATTTTTCTAGAAATGTAGCTGGTAAGGATGGTAATATTTTGGGATCCAAAATGCTTTTGAAAAGTGAGAATAATGAGCCAAAACCCCAACAAGATGACATTTAAAAGGAATAAATATAAAATTCTACATTTAGCTTTAAAAATCACTTATGTAAGCACAGCATGGAAGAGCTCTGTTGAGAAAGAAAAAAAAAACTGGAGGATTTAGTTGGCCACAGGCTTTATGTAGCAATGTGATGCAACTTCCCAAAATGTTTATGTAATCATGGGCCTCTTAGTTAAAGCATCCTGAGAAGAAGCGAGAGATAGAAGCATAGATTGAGCCACAACTGGAAGATTTATCACATTCAAAGGAACATTTCAAGGATCCTCCTTGGACACTCTGGCTTGCAATTAGGAAAGTAAAAAATTTGGGAGCCAGAGGAAGTGAAGAATGATCAGGGATGTTCTGTCTGCAGGAAAGACCTAAGTTGACCTGAAGATTACTATTTTCAGATACTCAAAGGAGTATCTAGTGGAAAGGGAATGAAAGCATAGGGTGGAAGTCCCACAGGGCAGAGTTTACTTTGCATAAAGGACAACCCAACTATTAGAGCCATCTCATGAAGGAATGAGATCCTTATGAGGTGGTGAGCTTTCAGTCCTGGAAAGTAACCAAATACAAGGTAGATACCCATTGATTGTTTGGGAATGCTCTGTGGGGTGCCTTATAGTTGGAGTAGATGATCCCTTGTCCAGGAGAGGAGGGGAAGTGTGGCTTGGCAAATGGAAGTAAAGGAACTAGGGAAGAACAGGAGTTCAGATGGGGAAATAGGCTAGACCACAGGAAGGTGGGAGCCCTAGGGGAGAAATGGAGGAAACAGGGTTGTGGGATGAAAGGGAATCCTGGGGCTTGGACCCCCCCCTTGACCTGTGTTTCCTTTCCCTAGGAATGACATGCCAAGCTCGGAGCTCCTACCTGGTGGACGAGGTGCTGTGGGGCCACCGCTTCACATCAGTGCTAACCCTGGAAGATGGCTTCTATGAGGTGGACTATGCCAGCTTCCATGAGACCTTTGAGGTGCCCACACCTTCATGCAGCGCCCGGGAGCTGGCAGAGGCTGCAGCCCGTCTTGATGCCCATCTCTACTGGTCCATCCCCAGCAGGCTGGATGAGAAGGTGGAGGAGGAGGGGTCAGGGGAGGGGGCAGGTGGGGATGCTGAGGCCGACAAGGAGCAGAATGGCCGCCTGCCACCCCCAGAGAGTGAGTCCAAGGTGTGACCAGCTTCGTCCAGACTCTTGTGGCAAGTACATGGGCAGCTGGACAGTGGAGGTGGAAGAGGAAGAGTCAGGCAAGGGAATATGTTCAAGTTGGAGAGGCCCTTTGAATCTAAGGTCCAGTAGGGAAGGGAAGGGTCCTGATTTCAGGAGAATGGAGGATGGGAATAGATGAACTTGCCAATCCATCTGACCTTCACACCTCTTAAGGGGTGAAAGGATCCATGAAAGGATGGGTTTATGGGGATAGGATGGAAAGGTGGGGCAGACAGAAACACTTGATGGACAGGTGAATGGACCAATGGACAGTTTAGTGCACTCAAGTGCTGCCACTACCCATAGCACACCTCTGTGCAAATTCTAAATTGGCATCTGACATCCTTTCCCCACAACTCCAAACCAGGGTGCATGGCTTGGCGAACAGTGTGAGGGTTTGATTGCAGTCCCTGCCTACCTCCTCAGCTAGGCTACCTGCGTGTGGCACACCTGTCTCCCTGGACACAGTGGCCCAAGAAGGGAGAGAGCAGGTGAGGTGAAGGTGAGTACAGAGCTCCTTCCTCCCACCGACAGCTAAGCAGGGAGATAAAGGGTTCAGGAGAGCTCAGCACAGTGCCCATGGCCTTTGTCCTCCCTGCATAGGGAAGCAGACAGTGGGGACAGATGCTGGACTGGGCCCCTGGAACAGGGCCTGGAAAGGAGACCCAGAGATGGCTGTTTTGTGACAGCAAAGAGAAAGGCTCATGAAGCAGAAGAAAGGCCAGGGGAGCACTCTACAAAGCAAGTTCAGGGGAGTAAAGGCGCTGAGAAAAAGGTTGTCTTTAGGGCAAGGGTTGGGAGTTAACAGAACCATTGATTGGGTGCCAGGTACAGTACGCATCCCACGAGCTGGTCCCATCACCTCAACACAGTGCACTAGGGAAGAACAGGATCGCTGACAACAAAATGTAGCTGGCACAGTTCACACTAAGAACCCATGCAATCTGGGATGGGGGTGAAGCAGCTAGTAAGGATTGAGTAAGGCAGAGGGAACGGTGAGAGCCAGAAGTTGGAAAACGTCAGCATCACCTGGAGGGCTTGTTAAAAACCAAGTGCTGGGCCCCACTCCCAGGTTTCTGACTCAATAGGTATGGGATACAAACAAAAACTTGACATGACTAACAAGTTTCTAGGTCATGCTGATACTGCTGGGCGAGGACCACACTCTGACGGAGTGTAGAGACTGAGACATATTTGGAGAGAAGATGGAGATCCTCAGAGAGCAGAGAGAAATGTGAAAGGAGAATAGAGAATGTATGGGACAGGCGACATGAGTCTAGGCCGAAGAGTTTTAATTGTGGGTCTAAGAAACTCAGCTGTCAGTGGAAATCAGCCAGTTGCAAGGTGGTGTGAAGGAAGATGAGTGGGCAAGGAAAGTTGAGATAGTTTGGTCTTTGGGGTGATTCCTGAGGAGCCAATGGGGAGCTAGAGTGGTAAAGGCTTGAATAGCAAAGGATCAGATCTCTTGTAAGATGTGAAGAGGCAGAACCCACTATGAGAGAAAAAGGGAATCAGATTACAAGGGTGTCTCTATTGGGTTAGGGGCCCCAGGAGAAGCATTTTCTCACCCCACCTGCACCCTGTGCTGGCCTTGTCCCAGTCAGGATGAGAGCTATACCCTCAAGGGTCCCAAGACTGGCCTCCTGAAGCAAAGCGCAGCCCAGGTAGAAAGCTCCTGCTTTCTGACAGGGTCAACCACAGTGACAGCACTGGCCTAGCAAGGCTCTGGCTCCTGAGTACAAGTTTGAGCCCTCTGGAGGTAGGCAGGGACCAAGGCCTCTCACCCCCAGCCTATGGGGCGCTGTACCTCCTGGAAGCAGGAAAAGTCATCACAGAGGAAGCCCACCCTAGTTTGCATTGAGAGAGGATCCAAGCCTCAGTCCCCTCACTTCAGCGGAGGATGAGCTCCCTGAATGCTGGCACCAGATGTTGAAGTGGAGCACAGGTGCTATCTGGGTTTAATTTAGAAAACAGAGTCTGGACAAGAGGGATGGGCTGCTTGTGTCCACACTCCCATGCACACAGGACTGAATTCAGTGCCATGGAGCAGAGAAAATGGGGCTAGAAGAGCCCCCCCCTCCTGCCCCTGGAAGGCAGAAGTGCCACACTTGTCCTCATCACTGTCACCACGCAGGGTGCCACTGTGCAGTGCAGAGTCAGGAGACTGAGCTTCTAGTGCAATTTCTTCCTTAACTAATTAGCTCTGTGACTCAGCAAGCCACGTCACTTCTCTGGGCCTCAGTTTCCTCATCTGTTTAAAAAAATGACATTTGGCAACCGAGTAATGCTCAATAAATGCTCAATAACTGGATCACAGTAGACTGAATGGCTCTTAAAGGTGCAGAATAGCTATTTGTAGGATCTTAGACTCCTCAGGCAAGAGTGCGGTTAGGCTGGGTGTGGAGGAGATGTGGGACGTGTGAGCAGGTGCAGCAGCTCTGTGGACACAGCAGACACAACCCCTTCTCTCTGCCACCCAGATGGCTTTCTGGGACTCTTATTCTGCTGTCAGTCAGAATAATTAAAGTCAGGAGGATAAATGCTGAGGCCCCAGGGTCTGCTGGGAGGAGTGAGGTCCTCCCTACCAGTAGAAGACAGGTTCAGGAGTACGGCCAGGTTCAGGAGAATTCAGAAAGGGCTCTGCCCTGGAAGCCCTTAACTTACAACACAAAGGCTGGGGGAGGAGCCCATGCTCCGCTGGGACTCATCAACTTTTCCTATGCTCCCCTCCCCAGATGGGAGCTCCATTAGGAGTTGGCTCAGCACTGACAGTTCAGGCAGCAGATGGGACCCAGGAGTCCCCTCCTGGAGTGGGTGGAAGGCCCACAGAGGCCAGATGGCATATATAGTGAGAAGAGAGGCTTGTATTGTTCATGATAGGTTGTCAGTCCCAAAACACCTCCATTACATGCCCCCTCCCCCCACCAGCCTCCTGGCTGGGGAAGACACAACCAGACCTGGATTTTAGAAAACCACTTTATTCACATTTTAGAAAAACTAGTTGGAGGACAAGGAATGGCCTTCCTATAGGATGGGAATGAGACTGACAACAGGCCAGAGAGAGAGCTTCGGGAGGGAAGACATCAGGGAATGGAGGCCTTGTCTTCCTCTCTGTATGGGGGCAGGACAAATAAATTAAATGACAGTAGACAGAGGGCGAGAAGCTGGCTGGAAGACAGTCAACACCTGTGAGAAAGGGAGAGAACATGGAGTAGGCTAAGGAGAGAGCCAAGTGGGCTCCCTCTTTGCCCTCCCCCTGCTAACAGGACACCGCAGGGCTCAGCTGGCTGCTGGTCTCCCAGGCAGGGGCCCCAGAGCAGAGCAGCTCGGCTCCTCAGCTCAGCACTGGGAAGCCTGAGGAAGACAAGACTTAGGGTTCCTGTGCCTCACCTGGGAAGGGAGGGGTCACCGTTTCCGTAGCCTCTTCATGAAGCAGCAGGTAATGGTGGCAAGGACACTAGCGCCAGTGACCAGGGCCACCCCTGTACCCACCAACAGGGGCACAAGGAGAGTGTCCAGAGCTGGGGGAGAGAGGAAGGCTGGCTCAGAGGGAGTGCCACCCTCACCCCTGCTGTCACCCGTGTCTCCAGACCCTCCTCCACAGGCAGCCCTCCCTGCCCACCCCTGCCCTCTCAGCACTCAGGTCAGCAAGCACCCCAAACACATGCATATTGAGGGGCTCTTCCTGTGAAGAGACAGAGGGTGGCAATAGAGATAGAAAGGGAGAACAAGGCAGGGAGAAGCAGGTGGGGGCGGAGTCACTCACCATGCGTGTAGGGGTAGACTGTGACAGGCCCCGAGCGGGCACTGCCGGCCTGGTACCAGCTGTAGTCCGCATGCTGCACCCAGGCGCTGGGGGCGCAGTGGTACACGCCTTCGTCCTCAGGCCCCAAGCTGTGCAGTCTCAGCCGATGGCTCCTGGGTCCCACCAGCTCCACACTGACAGGGCCTCCTCCAGGCCGGTCCCCCAGCTCTGCTACACCATCCTGGCCTACTCCACCCACCAGCTGGGCAGGGGCAGAGCTCAGGTGTCCCTCCTCCAGTCGTTCTACCCACCAGCTAGCAGCCAACCGCAGCCCTGGGGGGCCACCCCGCACAGAGATATTACACAACAGGGAGGCCGTCTCCCCCCGGTACACTGTGCCCCCTGCCAGCCATGCCACGGCCTCCAGCACCACACCTGCAGAGCAAGGACATGGAGATAAAAGATGAAGCGTCAGGGATCATGGAGTCAGGAAATGCTTTACAAGCCCTGAACCCTGTGAAGGCCCCAAACCCCTTACCTTCCTCCCGCACATGCACAGGGAGAGGCCGGGAGCGGGCACTGGCTGCTTCACGAAGCCGGGTCCCAGATCCTCGAACATAGGCTTTGGCCAGGCAGCGGTAGGTGCCTGCATCACCAGGCCTGGCTGCCTCCAGCCGTAGCCGGTAGGTTCTAGATGCCACCTTCTCCATAGCAATGTGACGGCCCTCGTAGCCAGGGCCCAGGCTGCCTACACCCTCTGTGTCCAGCTGGGCGACCAGGCGGCCGGGCCCAGGGGCCCCTGCAGGTGCCATCTCCCAGCCCACGGAGTAAGCAGCATGACGGCCTGCCGGGGGCAGTGCCCCTGACACATTGCACAGCAGTTCCAAAGGTTCCCCTGGGCCAATCCGACGTTCACCAGGCCCCACTGTCACCGCCAGCTGGCTGGCTGAAACACAGGAGAGGGAGAGGGGTCACTGAAGGAGGGACACAGAGGTGTCTAATCCCCCCACTTGCAATGTCTTCCTTGACAGCAGCCATCTCCTGTCTTCTCCTCACTAGGTGTGGAGAAAACACCCAGGGGCCCAAATCTCACCCTTCAGCCTTAGCCCTCCCTTCTCCATACTCAGCTTCTGAGCAGAGAGCACCAGTCATGGGTAGTGAGGGAAGAATACCAATAGAGCTGCTTGATCTATGGAAATGAGTTCCCAGGAGTGAGATTAATGCCTGCGGTGCCCACTGAGCCAACCCCCTCCCACAGAGGGCTACATGGCACTCACACAGCGTCTGCACATCCACATGAGCCAGGACAGCCCTCTTCTCTGCAATCTGGGCCCAGCTGCCATCAGGATCCTGAATCCACTCAGCAGCAGTGCAGTGGTAGGTGCCCGCATCTCCAGCCTGGGCGCCCCCCACCACCATGCGGTAGCGATCAGTTCCTTCCTTGCCCAGCCGCAGCTCTCCAGCAGCCAGCCGCTCTGCATAGGGAGCTCCAGCCTCCACAGCCAAGTCAGACCGCAGTCCCACTACTTCCTGCAGAGTCGCTCGCCCCACTGGGGCCTCAGGCACAGCTCGTCCAAAGGACACTGCCAGGTGGGTGTGCTCCTGTGTGCTCGTCTGCGCCAGGCAGCCCAGTGCCAGCTCCTGCCCCTCGTGGACTGTCAGGCGTGGGGGTGACGTTGCAGCCTGGCGGCCTCGGGGTCCTGGAGGAGCAGCAGACACCTGCAGCATATCTGGAAGAACTGAAGGGCACAGGTGGAGTGAGGGAAGTCTGTGAGTTGATGGTCTTTTGTGACTTTTTCCTGTGTACAATCTACTTCCCTAAACAGACTGTGAGCTCCTAGAGGGCATAGACTGCATGTGGTATTATTTCTTCTGCAACTCATTGGTGCCAAGCACAGTGCTGGGTACACCAAGGCGCTCAATAAATATTATTGAATTCCACAAAACCAACCTACTGTCTCTTGCTCTTAAGTCTGAGACAGCCCTGTTTGAAATATAGTCAGTCAAGGACCTCTGTCTTTCTTCTGGAAAGACCAAGAATGTGAGAATGTCACAGGGTCTACCTTGTACCCTAACTCTCCACAGGTCTTAAGTCCTCCACAAATAGAGTCCACTCCATCCATCAGGCTTCCTGTCCTGTCTGAGAATGGAGGGGATACTGGGCAGCTGAGCATCCTTCCCATTCTCTCAGGAGAGATGCTAATACAAGAAGAGCAATGGACTGTACCAAAGACCTGGGTTTGATTCCAGGCAAGACACTGAATCACCAGGTGACTGAGGCAACACCTTGGGCTTTGAGTTCCTCATGAGCAAAATCTGAGGGAGAGATATATAAGTAATGCCCCCTCCCAAACACACACACAAGGGTGTGGCCCCACCCCAGTCCAGGGTCCAGTACCTCTCAGTTCCACCTTGCCACTGTAGCTTCCAAGGTAGCGGGTATCCGTGGAGGGAGTATAGCACTCATAAATGCCAGCATCTTGGGCCTGCAGGCGAGTAATCTTGAGGACTGCAGCATCACCCTGTAGACGCTGCACCTGCACTTCACCAGCGGCCACTCGGGGCCCAAAGATAGCATAGGAGAACTGGGAGTCCCTAGTACTGATGATGCCCAGAGCAGCTTCTGGCGCCTCCGGCCTGTACAAAAACCACTCAAAGTCTTGCTGGGCAGGGCCCTCATAGCCACTCACATTGCAGGAGATGGTGATGGCTGTGCCAGCCACACGGTACAGAGGCCCCTTGGGGACCAGCACCTCCCGGGCACAGCAAGTGACTCCTGCAGGGAAAGGCAGAAAAAGTTCAAGGTGTCTTGCTTCTAAACCCAGGCTCAATACCACCAGACCATTCTTAACTACTGCCCTTAAAAGAAGGGAAACCTAGAAGATCTGGGTCCTGTTCTGAGAATAGGGAAGGGATGCTGGGACCTAAGACACCTGGGTATCCTGGAGGTGGCACAGGCCCAGGTTTGCCTCGGAAACTAGTGCTTTCGTGTTTAAAAAAAAAATTACATCCTAATTCCACCGGGTTTCCAGCTACACATCTCCCCCCACCCCATTCCCTCCTCCAAGTCTGTCATCCTTTCATTGGAGCTTAGTCCTGAAGAGAGTTCTGGCTAAGGGATTCTCACTCCTCCTTTGCTGGCA